CTACACTGTACTCTTTGATGAGACGTTAAATCAGTCTCTACAATCTAAGCAGATGGACATTATGGTAAGGAATTGATAATAAAGTTTGCACTAAGTATCTTACCTCCCAATTTATGGGTCATGGAACTGCAGAAAATATTTTGTCCTCTTTTTACAAATGCATGGATGATGGTTAAAAGCTCTCTAAAATACTTCAATTATCCATGGATGGACCCTATGTCAATTTGAAATTCTATGAGAAGCTTCAGTGTGAATTAAAAGAGAAATATTCCCACCAGTCATATTCATTGGTAGTTGTGGATTACACATAACGAATAATGTTAAACATAGTGAAAATGGGATATGTTTCTTCTAATTTTTATTTTCAGAAAGAATTGTTGCTGCATAACATTTAGAGAAGGTTGTGTAAATTATGGATGAATAAATTTTATAATTTCAAAAACGATGTTTAATAGAGGAGAGGAGGAGGTTATGGAATAGTCATGGAATATGGAATACCTAAGATTTAGCTCTGTCTTTCATGCAGCCTTCACGTGGAAATAAACAGGATTAAAGGATTTCACCATTAACACCTCATTACCATTAGTTATAGATTGTGCTGAGAATGATTTTGTGAATTAATATGTAAAACCAGTAGGGTTGTTTTTAAAAAAATATAAATGGTTGTCCATAATACATGTACTCTCTTCTCTCTATATAGGGAAAGCATTTAGGTATTACATTTGAAATTAATTATTGCCACCACAAGCATTGTTGCTTCTAGTAAAATAGAAGAGAATAATTTTTAAAATTGGTCTTAGATTAAGGTCCTTGAAAATTTTGTTGGTCCTTGAAAAGTCCTGGAAAGTCCTTGAATTTCAATCTCATCATAGAGGGGGAACCCTGTTTCTAGAGCGAATTATCTTTTAAACTTCCGTGATTTCAGAATTTTTGTAATTATTTATTTTTATTTCATCAATTTAAAACTCTAGCTATAGCTAGCCAGTCATTGGCGAATTTTTTTAATTCCGAAATAAGAACAGAGATGTCAGGAGTACTTCTTTCCTTTTGGATGAACAAGAAAAGTATCTTTAGAATATGATTCTGCTGGAAAAAATGATTTGCTTTTTTATTTTTTTTCTGCTATTTTATTGCTTCAAATCTTTCTTTACTCTGTTTTTTTTTTCAATTTGAAATCTTTTTTAAATTTCTTGTGCTTTTGTCGGAGAAAATAGTAACTTTGTTAAGTCATGAAAAATTCTAGGAATTAGTCATGGAAAGTCATGAATTTAAAAATCCAAGATGTAGCCAATACCCTGTATATATTATCCAAATTATTTCACCGTCTGACTATTGTTTATGTGAACAAGAAATTACATGCTATACCATATTGGCGACATAACATAACAGCCGCTGCGAGGAAATGCCATCAGAGCTACTCCGGCTAGCTAACTCTAATAAATAATAATGCGTATATCACAGGATGAAAATTATATATATATAGTTCTAAATGTAGAGAAAGCATGGAAAAAATTACAGAATAGTGAAAGAAGTTAAGAAGAAAATTATTAAAAATTGTTTTGGATAAAAATCCGAAAAAAATATATATAATTTCTTCATCAGCTCACACTATTATATCCTCAAAAAGGAGTGCTTGCGGATAAAACTGTCTGAGCTTGTGAAGAGATTATATCATTTTTTTTCTTAAATAATTTTCTTTTTTTCTTTTTTCATTATTCTGTAATTTTTTCCATGTTTTCTCTACTTTTTGAACTTATTTTATGAGTTCTATATACTTGCACCTTATCCACAGTAAATAAAACTTATTAATTTTCTTTCTTTTTTTTAATTCTTTTTTTTTGTCCTTGTATATATATATATGCATTGAACAGAGTGTGTTGTTTATCTTTTGCAGGTGTTTGTACTCGTGAACCTCCGTTTTATATCATAACAGAGTTTATGCAGCATGGAAACCTTTTAGATTTTCTTCGTAGCGCGACTCGTGATAGTATAAATGCAATCATCCTTATGCACATGGCAACACAAATCTCTTCAGCCATGTCATACTTGGAATCTAGGTGCTTCATTCATAGGTATGTATGTACGCTTCTTATGTTTGCTAACTATCTTTCGTTGGGAACAGCCAAGACCGCTTTTGATGGTAAAGTTGAGGCAATCAAAGTAGGTTTAACTCATTTAAATGCTCGTCCTTCTATTTCCGATCAAGCTGTCATCTTCTCAGATTCCCAAGTTGCGATTCTGGCCATTGCCAACTACTCTCAAGCCCCTAACTTTTTGTCCATTGTGAAATGTAGATTTTTAATGACAGAGATGGGTGAAAAATATAAAACGATTGCCCTACAATGGATCCCATCCCACTGTGGTATCCCCGGCAACGAAAAAGAGGTTGCTTTGTTAATCAAGCCCCAAATAACTTGGTTAGCTATAAGTTCACTTCATTAATGATTTATCATGCAATTAAGATAACACATATATCATTGCTAAAGGAACGGACAATAGAAAAATCATGGAGAAATGACATCCTTAATCTCCCCAATTGTCCAAGAAGCAGTGCTGTAGCTTCCTTTCGTCTTGCTACCAAGCACAAATGTTTATACGCTCATCTTTTCCGTCTTAAAATAGTGGATAATCCTTCCTGCCCCCGCTGCCGCAGTGGTGCGACGATGAATGCTGAGCATCATCCTCAACTGTTCAGTTCTCACAAGGAACTGTATCTACTCCAGAGACTGAGAGGCCAGAGACCTTTTATTCAATTTAAATTCTTGATTTAATTTTTGTGTTTGATTTGTTTTTTGTATATTTCATCTCTTTCTGTATTTGTATTTCTCTATTCTTTTGATCTCTGTACGGTGTTAGGATAATGTCTGTATTGCCTGCTGCATTGGAAATAAATAGAAAAAATGTTTGTTAACTGGCAACAAATATTTTACACTGTGGCTTAAAGTTACTTTTACAGTTACATTTGATCTGTTAGATCACTTTACCACTATCTGCCTGAATTTTTACTTTTAATCTATTTGTTATATTTTTTTTTGTAATATTTTTTTTAAACATTTATTTTGCAAAACGTATTCTGTATATAAGTATGTGATTAAAAGAGAATTAAAAAAAGAAAAACAATAGAATTTGTACCATCCTATAAAGTTTAGTGAGATTCGGGAAATTTTCTTTCTTGGTGTTTGTCACCACCTAGTCATTGTCAATTTTTTAAAAATCATCATCAATTATTTTAGGGCATCTTGTAAAGAGAATATATATATATATATATATAATTAAAAGAGTTGGCAAGGCTTAGGATAGAATAGATTAATCTCAGTTTAAACCAGGGTTTAAACCGTCCTTTCCAAAACCCCTTTTTAGACAGTTTTGGACAAAATTTTTTATTCAAGTTATGTCACAATTAAAAAAAATATTATGAAAAATAACAAAATGAAGACAAGTTTTTGTTTTCTTAAAAAACGTTTATTATTATTTTTAATATTTCATTATTTATCCTTTTGCAAAAACATAATTTATCAGTATTAAAAGCATGTTTAAAGGATAAGGTATTCACTTTTGTTGTTCAATGAATTGTAGAGCTTCAAAAGTTATAAATCTTTTCCTATTGTATTATATTATTTTCCTTTGATAAGTGAAAGCAAATTGTATAAAAAGTATCATTATGTAAATATTATGTGCCATCTATGTAATTATTATGTGTACTATGGTTATACATGTTGATTTTTTACCTTTTTCCTATATTCAAGGTTTTGGACATTTTAAGACAGTTTAGGACAGTAAAACCCACGTGTCCTGCCTAAAACCAGTTTAGGAATTCCAAAACCCTAACCCTGATATATATATATATATATATATATATATACATACATACATACAGAGGAACCCGCTTAAGAAGTTGTTCAAAGGAGTGGAAAGAAATGACTTATTAAACATTTGAAGGTTAAAAATACTCAAATTTTTCACTTTATCAAGTAATAAAATCGGTAATTTTTCTATACCATTCATACTAGCCCTAACTAAAAGTGTCAAATGTTTTTTACTGTTTTTCCCTCCATGGCAACGTTTACCTTTAAATGCATACGTTTTATCGGGTAAAAGATTGAAGAACTGTCCGCGTTCCTCCATGTTAAAAATGTCCTTTGGTTGATAACCTGAAATAAGTTCTGATAATTTTGCTTTCCATTCTTCAGCTTCTTGTAAATCAAAGCTGTTACAATCTCCTTTAATTGTTTTATAAACTAATCCAGATTGTTTTTTTCATCCGATCTATCCATCCGTTGGAAGGCGTAAAATCAATGTTCAATTTTTCCGCAATCTCAAAGGTTTTCTCTCAAAGTAGAGTTCTGTTGACAGGAGTGTTCGAACATCTTACTTGTTTAAACCATATCATCAGTTTTCCTTCAGCATCTTCATATTTTCCTCTTTTCACTATTTTTATTTTCTGGGAAGTACCGGAACAAGCAGAGTTTAAGATGTCTTTCTTAGCAATAATGCAATTTATCGTAGTAACGGGGAGATTAAAATTTTTCGCTATTTGAGCCCTTGTTAATTTAGAATTGCTGTCAACAGCTATTAAAATTTTACTGGACATTTTACATTACAGGACATTTCAACAAATTACACAACATTACATAATAATTACAGGACATTTTCAACAAAAATCAAATTTTTTTCTGCAACATTTAAGATTAAAATCAAAATGAACCTTCACACTAAAAATATTACCAATGAGATGCTGCTAAATATTTTGATGTATCTTTCCCATCAGGTTGGATACAGCAGTGCAGTGCATACGTCATCAGGCTTTCCGATTTTCATTTACAGTGGACACTATGTCCAAGTGATTCCCCACATTTCATTGTTCACCCTAAAGGTTCACATTCCTTTTCCCACACCTGTTTCCGATGAATCACCTTCTTTTGTGTAATGGTGGGGCAAAGAAAGCCCGTGGTCTTTGCTAATTTTGCATAGTCCAGGTATCAGTTTTTGTCACAGAAAAGTAAAACTAAATAAGACATTTTAAATAAGTTTAAAAAAGGAAGAAAATTAGAAGCCCATGAAAACTTATTAAACTGGAAAAAAAAACTTCTTATGAAGGTAAATTTAACATTAGGGTATTTGGTTTTTTAAAAAATTAACTTCTTAAATGGGTTCCACTGTATATATATTGAGTCTAAACTTTTGACAATCTAGTTATTATAATTACATAATGACAAATAACATTTTATGTATCTTTATTGATTGTGGAAGTCTTGTTTCTCTTTTAATGTTCATTTGTAAATTAAATTCTATTTTATTGTCAATAATTAATATTTCTTTAAGCAAAATGATTTCTATTTCTCAAAGTATTAATTAAATTACTGTTATTAAAATATTATAAATTGATGCAATAATAATTTATTGATCTTTGTTTATCTTTGTATCGATGCTAGAATCAAAGAATAAATTTCTTACCACTTTTTGTGAAGATAAGTTTCTATGAGAAAAAGCACAAATTTACCTTTTTAACAGTGTAATTATTATCTTTTTTTTGTTGAAGGACGAAAGAAAGGCTAAACTTTTTTGTTTGTGAAGATGTTGCCTCTACAGATGTAACTCTGATTTTTTTGCTGTTGTAATTTTATGTTTAATTCTACTGTTTTAGCCAGAGATATCAGGGTGCTTAGCATTTTTGAAAAGTGCTTAATGGTGCTTATTTTTGCTTTACGTGTTTTAAAAGCTCTTAAAGTTGCAGTTGCTTTTTTTTTATTCGGGGTCGGTAAAAAGTGCTTAGTTTTTTATCTTTTAAAAAGAGATTTTTCTTTGCCGTATCGATTGTCATTCTAAATTACCAAAAATGCATGATTTTCACAATTTTTTCTGCAATATTTATCATGATTATGTAAATTTTTTGAAGATGTTTTTCAATTATATTGATTTTATTTTTTGAAATTAAGAACCTTAAACAATAAAAAAAAATATTTTTTTTTACTGCACAGATCTTAATTATATATTTTTTTATTTTGGAAAGAGATTGAAAATATTTTTTGAGTGCTTAAAATGTACTTAAAAGGTGCTCATTTTTTGTTAAAAAATCTGACTATGCAACCTAGATTGAAAAGTATCTGAGATTAATGAATTTTTTAAATTTACAAAAACATTAATATTATTGTAGACTTGAGCATTCTTCAATAAAATGTGCAAATTTAATGAATGTATTCATGTATTATGTGTTTGAATAATCAGAAGGTTTATTTCAGTTGTAAACATTTGGTGAATTGTTAATTGTTTTTTTATTTATAGGTATAATGTAATTTTTGTTCCTAATGAGAACTATTTTACAGGGATCTTGCTGCTCGTAATTGTCTGGTGGGTGATGGTCACCTTGTTAAAGTGGCTGACTTCGGACTGGCTCGCTTAATGAGGGACGACACTTACACCGCTCACGCTGGTGCTAAATTCCCCATCAAGTGGACTGCTCCTGAGGGATTGGCTTACAATAAATTTTCCACAAAATCTGACGTGTGGGGTAAATTTAGTTTTGTTTAACACTTATAATGCTTCTACTTATTATTTTTTTAAAACTAGTTAAGGGAATAAAATAGAATATTTGCAGTATTAACATGGTGTGTAGCATTTTTAAAGTGCTTAAAGGTGCTTATTTTTGATTTTTGTTTTTTGAAAGTCTTTAATATTTTCCCTTTTCAAAAAATGAGAATTTTTTCTTTACCATGCTGATTTTCGCCACTTATTATGCAAAAGTGGACTTTTCACATTGTTCTATTAAACATTTTTACAATTCATTCAACCACAATCCATTTTGGGATCCCATCGGTTCATAGCATATGAAAGCGCCAATACTTTTATATGTTTGATCAAATACTTGAGAGTTTGCATGCGCATCTACTGAGCTGGGTTTGGGGAGATTATTGCCCACTTTATGTGCAACTCAGCTGCATTTTTCAAAATATTCTCAATTTCAGGCTTCATTTTCCACCCTCTGAAATCCAACCGAAAAATCATTCGATCTTTTTATGTTGGCTTATATAATCAAGAAATGTCAGAAACTAGTTATTTCATCATGATCATCTAAAGTCTGAAAATTATTTTGCATTTTGTTACTGTATATAGTGCTTAAAAATATTTTATGAGTGCTTAAAAAGTACTTAAAAGGTGCTTATTTTTTTTGTTGGAGATTTGACTACGCACCCTGAGTGAGTTTTCAGTAATTTTTGTTATTTGCAATTTTTATAACTTTCATGATATTTTTCATGTGTTCAAGGATGTCAAAAAGCATCCCTTTTTCCTAAAATTTTCAAACATGCTTAAATGAAATTTTCTATCCATCATGTGAAAAAGATTATGATCAGGTGTTGGCAATTTAAATTTTTTCAAAGTGCTTTGTGGGGATTATAAACTAATTAAGAATAATAAATTTGCGATGGAATCAGCGCTAGTTGTAAGCAATAAAGACTCAAATGTGCAATTTAAATTTTTCATGTGCTTAATATCATATTAAAAATATTGAATCGATTTAATTAAAAAGTTAATTGAATTAATTCAAAACGAAAACAACAAATGTACGGCAATGTTTGTTTGCTACAAACCTGAATTTGTAACAAAATAACCACTCTATCTTATTTTATTATAAAATCCACTGGTCTGCTAAGTGTAAAACATGATGTTCTTTAAAGAAAAGAATGAAAGAAAGAACATTTTCTAGAGCAAACTATCTTTTAAACTTTTGCAATTTCTGAATTTTTTATATTTCATATTACTCTCATATTTGAAATTCTAGCTGTAGCCAGTCATTACCAATTTTTTTTTAAAAAATCTCAAATGAGAATAGAAAAATCCCGATTATTTATATCCTACCTATGCGCAAGAAAGACATCTTTAAAAAAAAAAATTGTGCAGAAAAAAAAAAAGCGTTTTGCAAAAAATTATGGAGAAAGGAAAATGTTTCCCTTCTCAAGTGAAAATTCTTTCCTCAAAAACGCTCTGCGATAATGTCGCCGCGTCGACGCAATTCTGCCAGGAGGGCTATAATGATACAAGACTAAAGAGAATAGAAGGGCTGGTTCACTCCTTTGAAGAAGTTCTTGCCGCGCCAGAATATGAGCAATGAAGAAAATAAATAAATAAAAAGCGCTCTCCCAAGCATTTAAAACAAGTTTCTATTTTTAGCAATTCCTCCCCCTATTTTCGCTTCTCAAATCGGGTTTCTTTTTTTAACTGACTCTTCCTAGGACAGTCTTTCTTTTATCCCTGTCTATAATTCTCACACACTTTGCTTTTTTCTCTCTTCACTGACCCTCAGGTAAAGTTTGAAATTCTTTTTGAACATTCTAATTGTAAGATTATTGAAGGTCATTCCAAGCTCATCAGCACCCTTTATTCAACAAACATTCCCATGTTTTTAACAACCTGCTGAAGAAAAAAGGGAAGTGGAGAGAGGNGCCTAGGACAGTCTTTCTTTTATCCCTGTCTATAATTCTCACACACTTTGCTTTTTTCCCTCTTCACTGACCCTCAGTTGAAAGTTTGAAATTCTTTTTGAACATACTAATTGTAAGATTATTGAAGGTCATTCCAAGCTCATCAGCACCCTTTATTCAACAAACATTCCCATGTTTTTAACAACCTGCTGAAGAAAAAAGGGAAGTGGAGAGAGGTATCCATGACAAGTGGAAGAGGCATATTTCCTGGAAAAAAAAGAGTGTTTGTTTTACAGTTGAGGTTATCACTGGCCCCATCCTGATTTCCGTCATTCATTCCTTTCTGATTTATGCTTCTCCACTCCACGCCCATTTCCTACACTCAATAGCTGTTCATATGGCAGAAGGGAAAGAGAGACTTTGTTCTCTTGTTGACAGTTGTCTCCAGAAAGCGATTCCAAGAAAGGATTGGGGAGGGGAAAATTCCATGTGCACTGACCATTCCTTGGAGTAACATTAAGCATGAAAAAATAAATAAAAAGCACAGTAACAGGTGGAAAAATGATGATAAAATTTCCAGTTGGGTTTCTAAAAAGCAAAATTTTTTAAAGGAAAAAAAAGTAATACCATATAGGCCACCCTGTTAGATATGCCTTCCTACTAAATTTTCAAGTTTTAAATCAATAACGGCGTGGCCTATCTCTGCGAAATTACGGTAATATTTTTTAATACTAATATTATAGGCAATATTCTTGCATTTTGTAGGTGGAAAAATGCAATTTCAGATTTTTTGAATCATTACACAAATTAAAATTTGTAAATAAATTAAATGATAATAAATTAAAATTCATACATGAATTAAAAATTGTAAAATCTGTGCTGAACTCCCAAAATAAGGATCACAAATCACTCAAATAGGACTCTTTTAAAAAAGAGATACTCATATAAGTGCAAGTCAAATGTGTGTATAAGTGTAAAATATAGTGTTCTTTAAAGAAAAGAAAAAAAAATGAAAAAAAGAACATTTATCTTTAAACTTTTGGGATTTCTGAATTTTTTTAATTTTATGTTATTAATTTCAAATTGTAGCTAAAGCCAGTTATTACCGCTTTTTAAAAAAAAAATCTCAAATGAGGATAGAAAAATCCTGATTGTTTCTTTCCTCTATGATGCGCAAGAAAGACATCTTTAAAAATAAAATTTTGTAGAGAAAGAAAAAAAACATTTTTCGAAAAATTATGCGAAAAGGAAAACCAAAATTTTTCCCTTCCCAAATGAAAAATCTTTCTTCAAAAACTCTAGCATTCTGTGACAATGTCGCCGTGTTGCCGCAATTCTGTCACAGGGGGTGCAATATGTATTACTTTTTCTTTTTTGTTTTAGTTCTGACTGAAATATATGTTCTCTTTTTATTATTTACGTCTGTAAGAAATTTTATTAAATATCAGCTTATTTTGTGACCAAAATTGCATTTTAAAAATTATTTTCCCAGCAGAAATTTTAATTATTATTTTAGCATTTGGAATACTGTTGTGGGAGATAGCAACTTATGGTATGTCACCCTATCCTGGTGTAGAGCTTACAGATGTTTACCACATGTTAGAATCTGGTTATCGCATGGAGTGCCCAGCTGGATGTCCTGCGCGAATATATGATCTTATGAAAGAATGTAAGTTTTTTACTTTTTTTATTGCTTGCAAACCAATTAAAGAGGCAAGTTGTTTTAAACCATCAACTCATTTTATTGTAATAAATGAGTCATTTTAGGGTAAAATGAGTGAGTTTCGGGATACAGAGCTTTTTGGGGCTTTTAGAATATGGTGTGTAGCGTTTTTAAAAAATGCTTATTTTCGATATTCGTTTTTAAAAGTTCTTAAAAGTGCTTTTTTCATGGGGTGTTTTTAAAAAGTGCTAAAATTTCCCTTTTAAAAAATGAAATTTTTTAATTTAACACGGGGATTTTCTCCACCTATTATGTAAAAGCATGGTTTTTTACATTGTTTAACGTTTTTACAATTCATTCAATCACAATCTATTTTTGCCTACCATCGGTCCATAGGGTATTAAAGCGCCAATCATTTTATATGTTTGATGAAATACATGCGAGTCCGCATGTGCGTCTACAGAGCTGGGTTCGGGTAGATTATTGCACTCTCACATGCAACTCTGTTGCATAGTTTTTTAAAGAGGTACCTATTTTGTGAAAATTTAGACATAATTTGTGAAAATTAAAAATTATATTAAATATATAAATAAAGTAAAGTAAGAAAATATTTTCAAAAACTGTCACTACTCATAAAAAATTTGCTATTGTATAATTTTGGACTTAAAATTGTATCCAAATTTAAAAATCCATAAAAATCATTGTCCATAGTTAAATTTCAACTTGAATTTAATAAAAAAATGCATTTAACAGTACTAGCACTATAAGTTATTTTCCTTATGAGAACACATTTTGAAATTATTCTGTGAAACTACCATTGTTCCTGAAGTTAAATTTGTGAAGGTACAGCTAAATTTGTGAAGGTACCTCTAAACGGTAGTAAATTTGCCCTGAACAGACCCCTGGTTATGTTACAAAGCTGCACTTTCGAGAAAAAAAAAAAACTTTGTCAATTGTTTTAATTACTTCCAAATTGGTGATATCTCTTCTTTAGGCAGTCTAGAAAATTATTTGGTATTTGATATCAAGAAATGGGTATAGATGTTAGGACCATGCATTTTTTAAATTTGCACATATTTTCATTTCATTTAACATCGACAAAAACGAAAAAAAAAAAATATATAGATAGGAAGGAAAAAGTAATGAAGTAAGAATTATACTTTTATGTTAAAAGTAATAATTTTATTCCCCAAATAAATATTTTGACACAATGTAAAAGTTGATAACAAATCATATGTACACGTGTACACATTGTCAGTCAAGAATGTACAGAAATTGTTCATTTAGTTTCATTCTCTCCATTGCTATCTTCATTGAGATTATGTGTAACTGATTTAGCTACTGTTTGAGTCTTTGGCCATCTCCGCTATATTGAATAGAAGTATTAACCAATAACATACATACCTGCTAAGTCTCCCTTTTTTTTTTTTTTTTTAATGAAGACTCCCGTATTTTACAACTATCTCCTGTTTACCTGTATATTTTCAAATTTCTCCATGTCTGTTGAAGAAATTTAACAAAAAAAAAATAATAATTTCATGTTAAAATATCCACTTATGACAAAATACTTCTCTTATTCCTCAACAGATGGTGCTATTACCAGTACTGCAGTATGTTGAGTGTTATCAGAATTGTTTAAGTGGAGCCATGATGGCTCAGGGGATGGCACGTTCGTCTTCCAATGAGGTGCACCCAGGTTCGAATCTCAGCAGTGACTGGTCGATATGAATTCTGCATCCAGCGTGCACCAAACACAGTACTGGCATAAAATAACCTCAGTGGTAGACAAATTACGGGTTAGAGTCTCCTTGTCGTCAGGCTAATCGTGGGAGGTTTTCGTGGTTTTTCTCTCCGTGTAACTTTATACCCAGGTTAGTTCAATAAAAAAGTCCTCCACAAAGGCAAATTTCACCCAATACTTGATCTAGGAGTTACCTTGTCTTCTTGATAGGGTATGAACATAGCTCGAAAGGGTTCTCAGGTCTTCCAATTTATTGCTGTTAATGTGTACGCTTCCAGCTGGATACGGTTTAAGAGTTGGTAGCTGAGGAACATAGTTTTTAGTTACCGCCAAGGAGAATGTTTTCTGACTTTTCGCTGGCCTCTAAAATTCGCCACTCGTGTACTTGTGTTAAAATACTAAGCCATGTAGTGAAGTGTTAAATAATAATATCAAAGTTATTAGACCTCACTTTGTCACAATTATGAAAAAATAATATTGATAAGCCTCATTCTAGCACTGATTACAATAATTATTATTGTAATAGATGATTGTACAATTATTGTAATCTGGGAGCTGGCTATTCGATTCTCCATGGTACACTGTTGCTATAGTTATACCAAGTTATTGTAGAACGAGACATGCACTGCATATATACATATCCCTTTTCAAAAATGAACGAAAACTACTGGGGGAAGTTACTCAAAATGTAGCTATGATACATGTCTTGTTCCAACTCCGAGCATTGTATTTACCTGTACAGATTCCAAAACCAACAAAAAACTTATTTTCTTGAAAATGTTATACATCCCCTTTTAACATTAATCGCTTTGCTTTCAGAAAGCTTCTGAAAACTAAAGATAAGTCCCATTTCTTTATTTTTTCATGTTTTCTTAATATATTTTGTCCTTTTTTAAGCCCAATAATGTCTGAAATTTTTTTAAATATGTTTTCTCTTAATATAACTTATTATGTTTCTAATTTTGATGAGAACATTATTTTTGTTTCTTAAATATTCAAAACCTTGTAACTACCTTTCAACAATATGTACCTTTCAAAAACAAGTTCAAGAAAAGAGGACCCGAATTGTTTTTAATACATTCAGTTGTTCACTCTCCTCTATCGGTTAAAAGAATGTTTTTTTTCCCTTTTTTAATATTTCTTCAAGTATGATGTGAAAATAATGTCACAAAACAAATGAATTTTTAATTTTATTTTCCAAATTAGTGGTATTATAATGAAGCAATGTATAAAATAAATTCATACATACTCTACCCATTCTTTTTTCTTTATACCTATCTTGTTTATGTGTAATTCATAATTTGCTTTTTCCATTTTCTAACAATACAATTTTTAAAGGTTGGCTGTGGGAGCCGAATGAAAGGCCAACATTCAAGGACATTCACGACATCTTAGAAAATATGTTTCAAAACTCAAATATAATTGAAGGTAAGATCTAACTAATTTAAATTAATGTGAAACGTAATATTTTAAAGTGTGATGCAATGCAACCAAAATTTATGATTATTCTGTTCCATATTTTTCTTTCATGTTCATTGAGTGCATAAAATAGAAAAGGGGTCACCTTAATAACTTTCAATCTAATGGTTAAATTTTAATGTATTAAGGTGCAATCTAAATGGTTCAAGGGACTAATTTTATCTGTGCTAATACTGATAATTTAAAAGTTATAAAATCACAGACATAACCATACCTGGTCTGAATTAAACTACTCATTTTTTCGGACCAACCTGGGTTTTTTGACTCTCCGAATATGGTATGATGTCACAATTTGGAAAAAAAGGGATCCCAAATAGTTTAGGCAAGAGATTGATTGAGCACCTTAACGTTCTTTTCATTTATTGTGTATTTCATTATCCCCGTTGCAGAATCGTGGCAGGGCAGCAACATTGTTGCAGAGCATTGCAGAGTTCCTGCAGAAAGATTTTTTTTATTTGGAAAGCAAAGAAGTTGGGGATTTTTATCTGCAGAATTTTTCAAATTTTTTTTTCTTCTACAGAATTTCCCCTCCCCTCTTTCTACAGAATTATATTCAAAATATGCATCTCTCGCAAATCAGAGGTTGAAAAAAACTTTTTTTTCCCTGCTTTCTTTTGACAATAAAAAAAGTCCGCAATGCTTGGCTTTAGTTAGAATTTCAGATTACTATTATAAAAAGAAATTTCCAAATAGCAAAAATTAAAAAAAAGTTAACTATACAAATATTTTTTGGAACATTAGAATATTGCCAATAATATTAGAATATATATTCTTTTATATTTAGATTTAAGAAAAAAATTCTTACATTCATAATTAAAAAAAGTATATACTGTCTATACATGGAGGCTTTTTTTTTGTAAACAGAAAATGCTTCTGTTACTTTAAATTAGTAACATATATTTGCTACTATTAAAAATGTCTGTTAGAAAGGTATTAGTACTAGAGAGAATTGTAGCAGAAAAAATTCTGCCACAGGGTTCATTATATCTAATAGCAACTATCGTAACTTATAACAAGTATCGGAAAAATTTGCGGATCTCGTTTGTTCAAGATAATTCTACATTAGAAAAACTTACTTTTTATATTTATTTATATTTTTTTTTATTGTTTAATTATTCGTTACACTAATCTATTGTCGAAAAACTTTGAATTCTTAGTATACAAATTTTTGCACTGTTCAGAGCTTGAAATTAACAATGGTCTATTAGTCTGAGACCACTCAAATTTGACTCAGACCACCATAAAATGATTATCAGTGGATTCCGAGATCAGCAATCAAAAAGGATGTTTTTTATTATGTTTGTTTTTGTATTTATTCTGCAGACCAGTGGAAATTTATAGGAATAAGTGATATCTTTCTGTTTCAGATCTTTCGAAAAAAAAACACTAAATTTTCTTAATTTCTTCCCCTGCACTTTTAGTTGACATAATTTTAAATTGCCAAATCCAGAGCTTTAAGGGAATTGGTCTAATAGTTCCTGAGTAAAATGTTAAATATGCTACTTCTTTGATATGGTTAAATTTACAAAAGAGTGATAATAGCATTAAGAGGACTTAACCTTCAACCGTTCCCCATACCAAACTATCGAGATTATATATTTTAAACTGCAGTTATTTCCCCAAATTTTCAGGGTCAAAAATTTAAATACAAAAAGGTAAAAAAATTTTTTTTTACTTAGAAGAAGTACATTTTTGTATCTTAATTTCGTTGCATTGTAATTTGCTCATATTAATTAGCAAATATATATTGTTAAGCTCTTAAATCATTCAAATCCCATGAGGGTAGGTTGAAATCTAAGCATTAGATCAAAATTTATGATGGTCTGTTTCTTATTTTGCATACTGTATATATTTTGTATTTTAATCTTCCAATGTTTTATTTATTTTGTATTTACATATATTAATTGATATATATATATATTATCATATTGATTTATATGTACCACTCCAAATTATTAATACAATATAGTGTTGTGTAAGTTATCATATTTTTCAGTTGCTGTGATTTTCTTAAAAGGAATAAATATACTAACTTCATTTTTTGGTATTTTTTCCAAACTAAATTTTTTTTTGCCAAGTCAGGATGATGACTATTTTTTTTCCTCAAAAAAAATCAATGGCTAAGATATGAAAATTTGATCTTATTATAATTGGTGAGGGGGAATTAGAGTTAAAAATGAAATATTTTAAATATCTTAATGATTTGCAACTTGTATGGTTGTACGAAAGTTTCAGTGCAATTATAATTTAAGTAAAGCTTAGATTAGGTATTCTTTCCCATCATTTAATTATTTTATTTGCAATTAAGTTAATACCAAAAAAAAAAAAAAGGGGGATATATTTCTACAGTTATTTGACATTTCTTGATTTTTTTATTTTCGTAAAATTAAAAAAAAATGTGTTTATTATTTTATTGTTTTGTTTAAATTTTAATGTTTAAAATATTGATTGAGTAATTCAAGTCTTAATTTCTCTTTAATCTGTTTCACTTGCCTGATTATTTTGCCTTAAAATAAACATTTACAAAATTAGGAAAGTTTTTTTCTGTGTTGCTTATTGTTTGCCAACCACATCTGTATTATAGTTTGTCTATGGTAAGGCCGTCTGCTACTATGGAAACAAGAATAGCGCATTTCAGGGAGGGCATCTTTTCTTCCCTCTAGGACTAACACAATAAATCGAAGAAAAAGATGACCTTTCTCTTGCCGACTTGAACCAAAACCTGTCCAAAACAGTGACCCCACACCCCTACTTGAAATAATTATATTTCGTTACCATAGTCACCGCCCTGGGTCTAGAGGAATGGCTAGGTGAATTCTTACTTTAGACAAACTATAGGATACTGTGTCCTTATTCTTACGGGCTAAACAAATGATATTTTCACATAAAACTTGTAAAGATTGTTCCTAGTAATGGTAAAAGTGAAGAAAATGTTCTAAAGATCAGTAAATTAAAGCTTTTATTAACTGGGGTTGCCAAAAATCACGATTTTTTAAAAAAATGTAATTTATTTAATTTAAATTAGAATATTTTTTTTATTTTTTACAATTACCTATTGATAAAATGTATCAGTAATGCTTTATATTATTAAAACAATATCATTATTTTTAAAATAGTTCATAGTTCTTATTAAAATGGTTAAAATTCTTGTTTCATATTTACAAACAAATCCCTTAATAAATAAAATAATTGTTTTATTCAACATTAAACATAGAGTTTTAAAAGCAATGAGGCAATTTGTCAATTAGATATACAATAAGGAGTAAATTAGATTGGAAAACATTAATGGGGGAAAAAAATATTTTAAGTTACTCTGGGATGAAGTTTTTTTTCTCACTATTGATATACACTGTGTATAATAAGTTTTAAAAGCACTTGTAATAACAATAAACTTATTAATCGGTATAATTGAAATAGGTTAATTACCTGTAAATTATTTTACAGCTAGTGAGAAATTACAATTTAAAAGTTTCATGCCCAGGGTGCGTAGCGTTTGTAAAAAGTACTTAAAGGTGCTTTTTTGGGGATTTCGTTTTTAAAAGCTTTTAAAGGTGCTTTTTTCAGCTGGTGTTTTTAAAAAGTGCTTTTTTTCCACAAATAATTTTTTTTCTCTTCAGTGATATCTGGTGAATCCCATGCATTTCACGTAAAATGGGGTGTTTGCTACGTAATCCTTCACGCGGACTTCATGTCGTACCCACACGTTATGACTTGCGCATGCGCGTACACTTAAAACCGAAACCCGAGTGCTCCAATTCGGATAGAGAATATCAGATCCTTATGAAATGTTTTTCTTTTTAATTTAATTTAATTTTATTCTTGTTTATTTTATTTTACTTCTAACACTTTTTAGACGTAGGGGGTAAGGGTACTTTTGTTCTGAGTTCAGGGTCAAGGTGAATTCACTCGGTGATGTGGGAAAGTACTGATTGTTTTGATTTACGTCCGTTTCTTTTTGGGTTTTTTTTAACGCTAAAACTCGTTATTTTTCAATAATATTATTGAGTGAATGTGAATTTTTTGAGTGCTTGAAAATTTTTGTAAAGTGCTTGAAAAGTTTTTAAAAAGTGCTTATTTTTGATTCAAAGATTTGGCTACGCACCCTGATGCCACTTTGATTCACTTTTAACTGTCTTTAATTTTTTTCTCATATTTTTTACTTGGTTTTTTACTTGTGTGTACCTTTTTCATTGTTTTTCTGCTTTCACACCCTCAATGTAAGGTTTTTTTTATTAAATTTCTTTCTTATCGACTTTTATGTCAGTCTATACAACTACAATCTATTTTAAATTTGTCAAATTTTCACTCTACACTTTAAATATTTAAGGAATTGTAATATTGTCAAAATTTGCTGCAACCTTAATTTAGTAATAAGTTTAACTAAGCTCTAGTACTTCTTAAACTTGATAACAGTGCTGTAATATGACTAAAATAAACTTGGTAAAGTTGAAGCAAATTTGCACTGCATTAACCTTTTGCCTACGGCTGATATAACATGTGGACCACATGTGATGGTATAGCATGGTACACTGTAAGCAAAGGATTAATATTCAAGATTATGGTTTGATGTTGAGCCAAAGTTTTGACTGTGTAAATTAGTCTTTTCAAAATAAATAACTTTATTTTTTAGAATTATGCAAAAACAAAAGTGTTACATTGTGATTTCAGTCTCTTACATGTACATACTTATGACATACTTATTTTCATCATATATATATATATATATACATACTTATTTTCTTATGACATTTCTGTGTTCACTTACAGGTTTTGGAAATTAATGTCTATATGTTATTTTGACATTTAATATTATGACTAAAAAATATTGAGTCAAATCTTGTGTATTTAGCAGAAAATGAGTTACTTTGTTGAAATGAAATTGCATTTTACTTTCAGATTTAGAACCATTTATTATCTATTTACTTAACTACTTATTTACTTAGAATTACTTATTATATTCATACTACTTATCATCTATTTTAGATTCAGTTTTAGAACTACTTATTATCTATTTACTTAATTCAATGATTTTATTTCAGAAGTGGAAAAGCAGCTGGAAAAAAAATTAGCGGCTGGTCTCTGTAAATCTGGAAGCATTTCATCATCAAAATCATATTCGTTCAATGAAAAACCTTGCCAAAATATAAGTCCAGAAATTGGTAAGCTTTCCATTCTTCTAAACATTTTTATTTCTTATTGTAATAAGTCATATTTTTGTAAAATTTGTTTTCTGTCAGTATGAAAGCAACACTAATCATCATTTGATAAAGGCTGAAAGAATTATATATAGTGCCTAAAATTGTGTAATACGCTGTTTACTTGCCATTGATAATTAAATATTTATTTATTTAGCTTATTCGATTAATTATAGCTGTTGTCTACAATAACATGATTTATAGCTGTCAACTGTTCTCAATTTTGCCAGCCTATCTGTTATTGATCAAAAATTTATCTGATTATCCAATACATTAATTTATATATACATACAATTATTGAACTTAAGCTTCTTAACTCTAAAATTTGTGTGTCTCTTTTACTCATTTGATTTAATAAAGATTTAATTCTTATGATTTTCAAATGAAGTAAGGTAATTTTTTCTTCTTAAGCACTTCTAGAATTGATAACTCAAATTCGAAAATTGGCATACTATAATAATTTTGTATTAATGTATAACTTTGAAAAATTACTTGAAAATGACCAAAAAACAGTAAATAACAAGCGAAAAATAGGATTGGAAAATGATGTAGATGTATGAGGGAATGGTTATTAAAAGTGATACCTGGAATTTAAAATTTTCGTGTCGTAATAACATCAACTTTTGCGAAGCCAAAAAATTATAACGATAGAAAAATAATCAGAAAACAGCGTGCATGTACGATGGAATGGATGGGCTTTAAAATGTTTCGTGTTAACACTAGGAAATAAATATTTTACTCTTCATAGTTGCCAACTCAACTGGGTTTTCTAGTTAGATTACTGGATTTTTTTCAGTTTCTCCTGGTCTTACTGATTTTATTAAAATTCTCTTAGTTTTTGTACATTTTAGAAAATTTCCTAAAATTGAGTAAATTTCCTAAAATCCCTGTTAAAGTAGAATTTCTGTACAGATTATTGCTTGCTTGCTTGAATATTTGAATAAGTATTAGTAATACATAGAATCTCATTTATAGAGAGCAGTTAAAAACATTTTTTGCTGTAAAATGTTCAGTTTATTTTTATTCAGAAATTTCTTTTTAAATTAATTTAAAAAAATCCTTTAACCATCTTTGATGAATTAAATGCATCTTATTATTTGAAATTATGAGTGTACATAATACATAACATTTCAAGTATGTTTAATGTCAATCATAAAAAGGAAAATATTGCAATTTTTCAATTTTGATGACTATAAAAATCCTTATGTGTAAAATTATTTAACATAGTATGCAACAGTTATCAAGAAATTTATATTTTGTAAAATCTAAAGAATTTTTTCCTATCAATGTTGGCTGTTATGTATCTTGTTTGCAAGCTGGTGAGCTTAAATCTTAAAATTCAAACTCGTGACATTTTAATTGATAGTTGAAAAAAAAGGCTCTTTGTACTGTTTGTCAACTACTATGTTAACTTGTACGTAAATTGTTTGTTGCTAAATATAATCAGTACCTTTTTCCTTTCGGAAAAAACTCAAAGATTGCTTTTTAGTATCTCAACTAAGAGATCTTCGGAATTTAAAGACTTTTCAAATGTTAATAAGAATAAAATAAGATTCAAAAATGTTCCTTATTAGCTCCCCTTCCACCAAACCCTTTATTTATGAAATCCACTTCTTAAAGATGATCAAGGAAGATTATGAGATCTTCGAAATTTAAAGATTTTACAAATGTTAATTAGAATAAATGAGATCTTTTTTAAGAAATGTAACTTATTAACTCGTTCCACTAAACCGTTTATGAAGTCCACTTCTTAAAGAAAACTATGTTACTCGCAATGCATATTTTGTTCTAAAACTTCATTATATTTTTATGACACTTATATTTAATGCTTCTATTTTTGTTTTAGAAAACAATGCAGTTACTTCTGAGAGCCAGAATATATTTTCTGTAAAATCAGTGTTTGTTCAACTCAGTCGATCTAGTCCACGCTACAAGCACATGCCTGCTCCACCCCCTAAACGAACCAGCACATTTAAGGAGAACTCCTACCCAGATGACCTTGACAAAGTAGAGGATGCAGCATTTTATTTTCGCGAGTCACCCGATGTGAAATTCGATGCAGCAGCAGACGACGACTTTTCTCCTTGCGATAAGACTCCGGGCGGTGATTCTCCCATCGAGCGTAACTCTGAGAAAGAGGATTCAGGTGTTGCAGCCTCATCCTCTGACGCATCTTCTATACAGTTAAAGAAATCAAAGAAAAACAAATCCCAAAATTCACTCATTCAGAAATGTAAAGATGTCAATGGGAAAAAGACCGACTCCAAGAAAGTAAAAGTCGCTGCTCTCGAAGTTCAAAATGTGAAAAAGGCCATTAGCCGCTACGGAACACTGCCAAAAGGTGCTCGTATTGGTGCTTATTTAGACTCTTTGCGTCAACATGGTTTGCATGAGGGAACATCCTGTCCCCCTGAAACAATCATGGAAGGGGAGTTAGAATGCTTGCGGGAAATAAGTGAGGAAGTTCATGTTGACCGTAGGGTCACGGGATCTGTCACCAATCTCAGTAGACTGGAAATAAGCTCGCGCCACATGACAGGAGTGAGGTATGGACTAGAAAATAAGTCAATTAGAAACTCCCATAGATTTTTCATGCGTCAAAAATCTGATCTCACTCATAATAAAATGAACGATGTCTTAGAAACTTTCTCAATCACTGAATCTCATCACCTCCGATCTGGAAAGCTTTCGGATCGCTTCTTTCCCAATAAGAAAGCAGAGAAAAAGTCAGAAAGTTTAACTTGCATTCGAGAGCCAATGGAACTGATTGGTAATGTTTCTAATATTTTTGTAAATAACTCAACCCACCATGCTTCTTGGGAAAACGTGGTGGCCAACAATTGTATATCGAGCAACTCACTAGTCTTTGATTCCGATAGGTTGGATCGGGATTTGCATCAACGGAATCTGAAGAAAAGAGCGGTTTCCGGTAAAAGTTTAGAACCCAATTGTGATAACACTAAAATTGGTTACAATCAACGCAAATCGTTGCAATATACCGACTCAAACGAGAAAAAAATAAAAAGTTCCAACAATTATCAGAAAAATTTTAAATTGGCTCCTGTCACTGATCTGTCGGATGAAAACTTGTTTTCTGAAAGTGAAGGTTCCCTGAGCTCCCCTGACGAACCTGGGAATTTCTCATCTGTTCCACTTCCTGCTGCCAATAGCGAATCAGAACTCAATTCTCAGTCCCTCGGTTCTGAAGTTGTCATTCCTGCTCCTGAGGGTTTTCAGAGCACGGAAGAAGAAGAAAATTGCTTGACGAAGAACCTTGAGAAGTTGAAAGTGAGTAGCTGCGGGAATGGCACTAAATGCAATACTAAGCCCAAAATCATGAGGAAGCCAAAAGAATTACTTAAAAACCACTCTGCCGAATCTGCAGAAAGTGAAGACGTCAAGCATGAACGAAGCAAAAGTGACGCATTTATGCACGACAAGACAGCTTTCTTAAAAAAAGATGCAAATGGTAGGCGGCACAGTGCAGGCAGTGTAAAAAACTTCAAGAAGCTATTCGAAAAAGAGTTTGCAATCTACGACAAGGTAGCCAAATCGTCTGACGGACACGGCAGCCCCGATTTAGAAGACGAGGATTCCGTTGGCGGCAAAGGGCAGAACCAAACTAACCTGAAGACCAAAATGCAGAATCATGAAATCAATAGTGAGTCTGATATTTATTTGAACAACCCTGAGGAAGAAAATGACAATTCTTTTTTTCCACCTCCACCCCCTCCTGAGGACCTGGCATTCCAGGAAGTCATAAAAAGTCCTTCCACGAAGGAGCTGTCGAGCGGTCCTCCCAACCACAAAAAGTCGTGCCAGAACCTCAACCAGAAAGATTCCGATCGCAAAATAATGGAAATCTACAAGAGCATCGACGAGATGATCGGGACACTCCGCAATTCCACTCACAGCAATGGCACTCGTGTCAACCAGCTCTCCGAGAAGATTAACTTGTTCTGCTCTACCTGCGGAAATCACACTGCCAATATTCCGGTGCAAGAACAGTTTCATTTCAGAGACCTCATCTCTTGTTTAGAAAGTCAAAAAGAACAGTTTCACTCGTATTCCAGTAAATCTTCTAGTGACGTGAAACTGTTAACTGAAATTCATAGCACTATTAGAGACTTGATTAATGTGGTACACAGGTGAAAAACATTCCTTTTTCTATGGAAGAAGATTTGGTGCAATCGTTTTATACCTAAAAACAAACAAAAAATGGATTTTCGTCTAGTCTACATTTGAAATAATGAATTCATCTTGTTAGTTTTCTGTAATTAGATGTTTTTTTTGTAAATAATTGCTCTGTGTGTTATGATTTCAAAAATCTGTCTCAGGACCATTTTATAGGTTCTTCTGGACAAGAACGAAGCACTTCTTTTACTTGTGTGTGATGTAATCACCATAATTTGTAGATAAAAAAAATATTCACTTTTATTAGCTTTCTAATTTTAGTATTAGTTTTTTTATATATATATAAATTGTTATAAATATCATCGCTTGTGTAAACAATCAACATTACTTTTGTTTAAAAATTTAACATAAGGGTTTTCAAACTTCTTCTAAATTCATTAATTAAAAATAATTTTTTCATAGCACTATAGAATTTAAGTATACAGCATTGTTGAACAAGTATTTTTTGTCTTCTCAAATGTTGAATAAATAATTAAAAATTAATAATTATGAAACGATAATAAAACTAAAGGAAACTGATATTAAATAGGCTCCTAATTTAGTTATATATATTTCAATTGTTATATATCAATTTGATATATATATTTTTTTAACTATGCATTTAATTTATATACTATTTGACCACAGTACTCATTTGGGTTTTGCTTAAATTCCTTCTAACTGTATTTACAGTAAATAATTGACATTTGAGTTGTTTTTTATTCAGAAATTAAAGCTTTTTTTAAAAAATGGGATTGTAATTGTTTTTGTTTTCTATGATTCATAATCTGTATGAACTGTAACATCTTAAATTTGCTTTGCAAAAGTTTTCTTTGGGTAAAAAAACCTATTAGTTTTTTCCCCAAAAATTTGCACTATTCTGATCATTTAATATTTTTTTAAAAGAAATTAATGCTTTGCAAAAGTTTTCTTTGGGTAGGAAAAATGTCATTCCTATTAGCTTTTCCCCTCCAAAATTGCTCTATTTTGGTAATTAAATTAATAAATTTTTTTTTATTTTAAATTAATGCTTTGCAAGAGTTTTCTTTGGGTAGGAAAAACTTCATTCCTATTAGTTTTTTTACCCAAAAATTTGCACTATTTTGGTAAGTTAATTCTTTTTTTAAAAAATTAATGCTTTGCAAAAGTTTTCTTTGGGTAGCAAAACCTTCATTCCTATTAGTTTTTTTACCGAAGAATTGCACTATTTTGATAATTTAATTATTTTTTTAAAAAATTATTGCTTTGCAAAAGTTTTTTTTGGGTAGGAAAATATTCATTCCTATTAGTTTTCCCCCCAAAAAAATCTGCGCTGTTTGGTATTAATTTAATTATTTAAAAAAAAATTACTTCTTATGTTAGAGAAATTTGGTATGTGTTAATATGTGTTCGCAAAGAGCAAATTTTATTTTAATTTTAAAAATAAAATTGGAAATTTTCAATTGATATTTTATTCGTATTTTGCTCAACATTGTTACTGAAGATAATCATAATTTAACTGAATTATGTTATATTTTTTTTTTATCACAGTACAGCTGGTTCTGTTCTGTAACTAATGATATGAAATATAATTTTATATTTGAAATTTGAACTAGCCAATTAAATAAAGGAAAAAAAATAGGTTATTCCTATTTAAATGTTTGAATTTTATTTCATGTTTCTAGTTAGTATTTTAAGTTCGGTGCTAAATAAAATGCATTTTAAACATCTTGGTTGTTCATTATTTAGTTGCAATACTGCATGGAAAAAACACTTGTAGGATTTTAAAACCATTATTCTTATTTAATCCACATACAGTAGGTGCATTGTAAGGACAATATATAAGGGATGGTAATATTTTCTACAATGGTAAGTCTTTAAAACCCAAGTGGCAAAAAGTCTTTAAAAAAGAACAAGGTGTGTAGCGTTTTTAAAAAGTGCTTAAAGGTGCTTATTTTCAATTTTCATTTTTTTAAAAGCCCTTAAAGGTGCTTTTTTCATTCGGTGTTACTAAAAAGTGCTTAATTTTCCCTTTTCGAAACGGAGATTCTTTTCTTTACTATGTCAATTTTCGCCACGCATTATGCAAAAGCGTTCTATTCAACGTTTTCGCAATTTATTCAATCACAATCTATTTCAGCGTATGAAAGCGCAATTCATTTTACAGGTTTGATGAAATACTTGCTACTCTGCATGGCTGGGTTCAGTGAGATTTCATGCAGTCTCATGCGCATTTTACAAGATATTCTCAATTTTAGTCTTCGTTTTCCACCATTTGATATCGAACCGAAAAACCTCTTCATTTGATATAATCGAGAAATGAGTTCTTTGTCGGAAACTATTTATTTTATCATAATCATGTTAAGTCTTTGAAAATTATTTTGCATTTTGATAATGTATATAGTGCTTATAAAATATTTTTTGAGTGCTTAAAAAGTACTTAAAAGGTGCTTATTTTGTTGTTGAAAGATTTGGCTATGCACCCTGTTAATATCTAAACAGTTTAAAAATTGCAATCCAGTTTAATAATAGTATTCATTTTGGAGCTAATTAATATATCATTTATAAATAAATAAACTAAAATAGCAACAACAGGAGAAAAAAAAAACTTTTTATGAATTTTTAAAAAAATTGTAATTGCTCTTTTTTTATGTTAAAAGACTTAAAACCCAATTTTAAATTTATAAAAAGAACTGTTAAAAATAACAATCAAATTAACACATCACATGAACATACACACTACTAAAAGAAGGATAGTGAATTCCCAATTTTAAATAGGATACTAATTTTTATAATCTAATATAATTGGTAATTTGTATGTTTAGTAAGTGATTTGTTAATTAACTATTATTGATAAAGTTTGATTATGTTATTTTAACAGTTCTTTATAAAATTAGGGTTAATGATACTCATTAACACAATATATTAAAAAAAACTAGTAATTTTAATTTTTTTAAAACTTCCTAAAAATATTTTTTCAGTTGTTACTTATTAGTTTTCACTTATTTATTACTCACTTATGTGTTAATATTTTAAATTAAGGCATGCAAATTTTTTTAATGGACAATTACTGTTGTTTTTACCCTTAATATTTAAATGAATGACGCCCAGTGACTGAGTGGTAGCGCTTCACACTCTCATGCCACAGGTCCTTGGTTGGATCCTCAGGCTGGGCAAGGTTGACACAACTTTTCATCCCTTCAGTGGGTTGATAAAATGAGTTCCAAGCATGCTTGGGAACTAAACACTGGGAATTTTGCTTTCGGTTGATCACCCGACCGGAACATCTGCTCCTGCACCCCTGAGCTCAAGGTCAAGAAAACAGATGGGCACAGTAGGCCTTGGCCCTTTATGGGCTGTCGCGCCACTGAGTTTAGTTTATTTAAATGAACTCCAAAAGCTAATGTCCAATTATTTTTTGAAGGAAGTTATACCATTTTTTAGAATATTTCTTTTTCTTCAGTTTCCTGATTTTCTTAGAATCACCTCCGAAACTTAATTTTAATCTTTTATCTACCGCAGTGGACTGATCGTTAAGACACGGTTCCCAGCAGATCACCGAAGTCAAGCATCACTGGCTGCGGTCAGTGTGCAGGTGGGTGACCACTTGGATCAGTCTGCGTGTTGACCGAGGGTGTGCGGTATTGGTCCTCGTTAAACTGTTCTACCGTAAAGAGCTCGACTTCGCGTGCAGCTCGTCGGGCTACCGAAGCGGGGGTGCCATCCCCTCCGCAGAGGATCAAAATTGTGATGGCATGTCTTCGGATCATCCTCAGGGATGTTTCCCAGACCGTCGCCAATAGCCCATTGTGTAGCTCTAGTTCGACGTAAATGAACAACAACAACAACATACTTTTTTTTGTTCGAAATATTTTCCATTCTTTCTGCGAAATTTTACTTCCTTCACCTGGTTCCTTTTTTTGGTTCAAATTATGTGGTTTTTGCATTTATCTTTATCTGGACGTAATTTATTTATTGAAAATAGCAACCTGGAACCAGGTAATCATTTAAAATAAATTTTTCATCTTTTAGATACTATTTCAAATGATAATGTATGTATATAAAAACTTTTCTGAATAAAACGTCAAAATTTCACTCGATCTCTAATGTTTAAACAGTTCATAAGGCTGAAATTTTCCAAGAGTTCTGTAAAAACATAGAAAAATTCAATTGACATTTAACGACAAATTCTGTTTTTATTTTATTCGTTCAGCCATCATTTTTTTAATGAAAAGAGGCTATATTTGTAATAGATTCCAGACACAACAATGCATATGTTTGTCAAGAATAAGGAGGGCTTTTCTAGCAACATTGTGTTCAACTTAGTGGTTGAAGATTAAAAGTTAACAAATGTTAAATACACAGAATTTTTTAAATGTTTTTAATAATTTACACTTTAATACATTTTTGAATATGAATCGTACTTAAATAACCTACAGTCCTTGGCCAGTTTATTAGGCGCACTATAAGATTCTATGTAAAATCTTAATTATCAGGTGATGCTAATACAGCTCTATTGTTTTTACGAGACTGAAAACGGTTTGCGCTTGATTACGTTTGTGTATATAATATAAATTCGACGATTGGATAAATTAGATGATATATTACATAAATATAGACTATTTGTTATATCTGGTATTATATTAGTATATTATAATAGTTAGACCAAATTATTAGACACACTGTAGTGTTTTAATAATTGCATGTTTTGCACGAGTTTATATACAGTACTTTTATAATTAAACATAAATGTAATGGCTTTTTATTCAGGAGATTTTTTATGTACTTCCTATTTGTATTTATTTTTAACGTATTGCATTGCAATGTTAACCAATTGATATAAAAGCGTAAACAAATGCAAATCGGTTTCAGTCGCATAAAAACAATACAGCTGTATAGTATCACCTGATAATTAAAATTTTTTCATAGAATCTTATATTGCGTCGAATAATATGGTAAAGGACTGTATTCCTGATCTATTTTAGCTGTTTACGGTACTATGTATTTCACTTATAGAACACTATATTTCTACAACTGCCGCTGCTTATCTCGCAAAATAGATTCCAAGTATTTCACAAGTATTCCAAATATTTAGCAAAATAGAACAATAAAAAAATTCCAAGATCACTCAGAAACTTTTTAGTGAAGAAACAAAACTATTCATGGGATGAATAATTACAATTTCAAACTGTATAATTTAGTTTAAAATCCAGCAGGGGTTCAAAAGATAATTAGAATAAATGCTCTGTTAATTCTTTGAATGAGGAAAAAAATGGAAAATGCTTAAAATCGTCTGCTTTTTAAGTAATTTCTTCTGCAATTGGGTATAATATAAAAAAAACACAACTACTTCCACTTAGTAGGAATAACATTTACCATGACGCAATGCTAAATTCTTTGCCACTATCCACATAAATCAATTATTAATCAAAAATCGAATATCAATTACTTTTCTTTATAATGCAATAAAATCTGGCGAGCAGCTATTTAAACGATCAAACACTTCGTTTGTTTATTTGTGGCTTGAAGTTAGGCTCGCAGAAAATGCCGTTCATGGGTTAAATTTAGTAGGAATAACACAACCTGTGACGTAAGCTATAGTATACCCAATTTTGTAGTGAATTCTCTACATTTTATACTTTTATATTTTTACTTTTATTTTTAAATACTTTTAATATAATTATTTAAAGATACATGTAATGGGTTTTTATTCAGGAGATTTTTTTTTATATACTTCCTATTTGTATTTATTTTTAATGTATTGCATTGCAATATTAACCCATTGATACACGAGTGTAAAGAAGTGCAAATCGGTTTCAGTCTAACAATACAGCTGTATAGTGTATCACCCGATATTTAAGATTTTACATAGAATCGTATAGTGCGTCTAATAATTTGGCAAGGACAGTAGAGTGAAAAATGCCCATTTGTTAAGATCAAAATTAGTTTAGCTAATTTACACCAGCGGAATTTCGAACGACTTTGCGGGTATAAAAAAAATCTGGTGGGCAGAATGGAAGACATTCGTTATCTGCCGGGAGAGTGAATCATTTTTATAATTTGAAATTAAAAGGTCTCTCTGAAAGAAAATAACTCATCCAAATCCACAGCATCATCATCTCCTCCGACAAGAGAGAGAAGAAGTCCAAGATGAAGTGATGGAGGGTTAGGGATAAAGGGGAGATGAAGGTGTCCTATTAACGATCGATAAAACTGCTACCGATTCCAAGAGTAGCTTTTCAGGATGGCTGCTTATATAAATCGATACCAGAAAACGGTATCGATGCGACCACCTGAAATAACCTCACGATTCTTCTATCTAAAGAACTAATGAAAGATTCCAAAAAAAAAAGTTTTTCCTTCCTTTAACCCACCATGTGGATTATTGATTAGGGCTTAGTCTGAAATCCCCCACCCCCTACACCTTCGGGGCTTATTTTTCAGTTTCAATCCATTCGTTGACGGACAATCTTCCCACCCCACCCGCCATTCTAAGATGTACTCGCCCAAAAAAAACCCCTCCCCCATCCACCGCTTGCTCTCTGGGATCCAGGATATACATTTTCTCCGGGAATTTAGTGGAAAATGTACTGACAATGTTTTCGGAAAATGCTGCCTTTTTTCTCGCAAAAGATTGTTGAGACGAAGTGGAATAAAAAGAGGAAAATAAACCTTAGAATTCTCATATCGATCCCTAGCCCCCCCCCTTCTTTCCTGCCTTCGCAACTAC